CAGTTTCCCTTGTCTATATGAAAAATCATGTATAATAATAAGCAGAAGATAAAATTTTACATTTGGCATAATTTCAAGAGTCTCCATGATTGTGGTCTTCTTGTAACAAACAATTTGAAACATCTGGAAAATGAACATACATTTCAGGAATAAAGAAATAAACACTAACACTCCCTTCAAAATTTCTTGCTCTTTGGAGGGGGTTGTCTGAAATTGACTTTTTCTATTATTATCAAAGATATCATTCAACTTTTCTATTTAAATACTGGAAAAAACACTAACATTTAACCCACAAACAAAAATGTTTAGATGAGAAATCTAGCAATAAAAATGGATGAGTGTATATATCATATTCTTTTCTCACTCCATATACTTAAGAGAATGAATGATGGAAAGAATAATGACTTTCACAAACTAGGTTTATGCTCTTGATTACTAATATAGTGATGAATATCCATTCTGTGGAGGAAGTTCAAAGGGAAGGAGGAAAAAGCCATGAAAAGGTTTTTAGCTTCAAATTATGGTTAAGATACACAGACAAAACGAATTTAGCAAATGATAGTAAAGATCACATAAATAATACCAAACGAAGTTTAAAGAAAACCTATTCTACAGTGCTAAGAAATGCAATTCACGAGATTGGGAAAAGATGCAAATTTTCTCGACTCCACCCTACTAAGAAACAATCAATCGGTGCAGTAATCGAGAATAAGCCCTGTCCTAGATGGCCAGAAGAACCTTAAGAAACTCACCTCCTAACTCAGGGCGTCTTGGTTTTATTTTTCTTTGGCATAACCTGCCTACTTGCTGCCCTCTCTTCCCATTACTCGGCCAGAGGGTTGGGAAGGGGGATATTTTATCGAGGCGCTGCTGACCAGGAGAGACTCTTGCCCAAACCGGAGACAGGATGAGGCTATTGCTGCGCTCTTACCTCCAGCAGTGACAGCGACTGTGGTCACCGCTTCTCTGCGCGGGGCCAGCCAGTCCCGCCGGGATTGGCACAGGTCTAGCCAAGATGCAGCCAGGAGGGTCCCCGCCCGCCCCTCGCTGCAGCTTCCGCTGGAGCTGGGATAGCGCGCGCCCGTGATTCAGCGCCTTTCTGCTGCGTGGTTACCACGGCGACGCGCGCGCACGCGCACACGTGCCCCCAGGGATGGGAGAGGAGCTGTCTTTGCCCAGCTCTTGGCTCCCAGCTCGAGCTCTAAAGATGAGTACACAAGTTACCTGGACTCCCACCCCGCAGGAGACCAAACAGAAGGCTTTCGAGCAGCAGGCTGGCCTGCATTGCTCCACTTTTCCTTCACCAACCCCTTCAGGCCACCTTGGTCCTAAACAGCCTGAGGGGATGAGTACCTCTTACAAATGCCGAGGCCAGGTTCAAGCGAGGCGTGAGCACAGTACTTGGGTCAAAGACCCTTTGCAAATGTCTTCCCCAAAGCAAAGTCACCCACATGCACACTTCCTACGCCTCCAGCGAAAGCCTCTTTAGGCTTCCCGCTAATTTTGAGCACGTGTTGCTTTCTAAAACGAGGATGGAAACCGGTGTTAAGAAGTATTGCATTATGGGAAGATGATCATTTGAACAATAGAAAACTCCTGTGTAAGATTCTCCCTTGCATTTATAGTTTCCTTGTAAGAAAGATGCACACATCGAGGTATGGTAATAGAGAACCGAAAAGGAAGCCAGGGCACTGCTGAGGCCTTCCTTGTACATTCCCATGACAATTAAGTTTAGAGCAGTACTTATTGGAAGCAATGACTTTGGGAGGGATATTTCCTGTTAATTTCGCTTCTGGGTTAATCTGTACCTGTCCTCCCAGTCTGATCAACTGGTATTTCCACTGTTTCAGTCCTGAGTAGTTTTTGATGAACAATGCCCTTCTAGGCTATGCCCTGGCTATGGCTGGGCCTTGAAAGAGTTACTTGCTGAAACTGTCTTGTCAATTATAAAATAGAGATGGTAATAGCACTTGTAGAAGATGATTGTCGGGATTTGAGGAGTGCACAAAGACAAAAATTATTCAGGACTGAAAGAGTGGAAACACCAATTGATCAGTCTGGGAAGACAGGTACAAATTAACCCCGAAGGGAAATTAACAGGAAGTATTTCTCCCAGTCATGCAGTAGCTGTAAAATGACATAACAGCCTCCTCTAAGAATGACTACTTTCCTACCAGCCGCCCCTCTTTGCTTCACTATTTCCATTAGTAACTAGTGATACCCCATTGCAATTCTCCTTCCCTCATGACAGTGCCCAATCCATAGTTAATCCTCGCTTCTCCCAACCTGCCTCTGAAAAAGAGTAACCCAACAGGACCAATCTCTGATTCCAAGACCCTCCTTCAAAGGAAACCCAAACCTTACAGGACACTCCATCCTTTCTCTTCTCATAGTGGCATTCCATTGTACCCCCGAGTGCCCTTTCTCCCCACATCAAGAAATCTGATGTACTCAGACAAGAAGGCTGTTCCCAGGAGTCTCTAAATAAAAATTAATTAATATATGGGCTTTAAAATCTTTACACATATATATATATGCTTACATATACATGTAAGTTTAGCCTAGACTTTTAGAGTCATTACAATGAATATCTATTTTGATATATGTAATACATATAATCAGGGAACTTCCCTGGTGGCTAAAATGGTAAAGTGTCTGCCTGCAACGCGGGAGACCTGGGTTCAATCCCTGGGTCAGGAAGATCCCCTGGAGAAGGAAATGGCAACCCACTCCAGTACTCTTGCCTGGAAAATCCCATGGATGGAGGAGCCTGGTAGGCTACAGTCCATGGGGTCGCAAACGGTAGGACACGACTGAGTGACTTCACTTCACTTCACAATATATATAATACCTATTTTCATACTGGATTATGAAAATATTAGCTGCCTCTCTAAGACACAAATGAGAGGCCACTATCATTTCTCTTCAGCGTTTATTGAGCTCCTGCTACATGCCAGACACTATCATAAATACTAAAGATAAAATGATATATTTTTAGTACAGCTTTCCAGACTTTATCTGATCTTTATATGCTGTTGGTTGGGACATTTGTTCTTACTGAACTGCACAATAAAAGATAAGGACATACATTTTTTTGGAGGTGAGAGAAACAGGTCTAGCATGATTCAAGTACTTACTGTATCAGTGGCAAAGATGCTGCTTACCATACTGATACACAAGATTCTCAGTTGGAATTTCAACAAGACTGGAAATAAGGTACACAAAGCTACTATACTGAGAAAACCTGAGATTCAAAGTAAAAACTCAAACTCAAACATGTGCTCTGTAATAACCTAGAAGGGTGGGAATGGGCAGGAGGTGGGAGAGATTCAAGAGGGAGGGGACATATGTATACCTATGGTTAATTCATGTTGTTGTATGACAGAAATCAAACCAATACTGTAAACCAATCATCAATTAAAAATAAATATTAGAAAAGGATATTGAGTGTCTATTCGTGCATGAAGAACTTTTGCCTATGGAAAGCAGATGAAAAGTAGTTTTATCGTTCTTATTCACTTCTAACTTGTTTCTTAGATTTTGTCACTATAAGCAGTAAACGGGAAGGTATTTAACTTGGATGCTGAGTCATATGAAAGAAATCATACTCCTTTCCAGTTTTTAAAACAACTTGGTAATTATTTAATCTAATACACAGTACTATATTTTTTTTTATATTTAGCCTGTCACTTATCCAGATTTTTTTTTGGTAATATGAAGTGTGGTAGAGTTCTTTTAATTCTTCTTTCAAGTGAATAAGCAGTTTGTGCCCCAAACATCCTTTTCTCACAAAAATGAACTATAGCTTTCATAATATATGCTAAAAGATTAGCATTAATTCTCATTTTCTTAAATGATTAACATATACAACTCTTTTCCATTGACACATCATATGTATAAATTCAGTTTGTCTTTTTTAAGGTGTTTGAGTTGTTACTTTTGACACTCCTGATGAAAACAAGGTTCTGCCACTTCTCATTCCAATTATTTACCACCAGATTTCCTTTCTGTATACTGAGGAAGTCAATATATTCTTGGTAATACTTGGCAGAATGAGAAGTAATGTAGAAAGCTGTTTTTTTCCACACAAAGGTGAAGCTGCAGTAGCTGTGGAGCCAGAAACAGGAAGCAGGTAATAATTTCAATTGCATCATGAGCACAAAAGCATGTTAAAACAAACTATAAACAAGCAAAATTCTTTATTTACAGTATATTCTCTTGGGGAAGAAAAAAAAATGTTTCCTTAAAGCACATGTAGAAGTGTTCCTTATTAACCTCCTGAAAAAAATTCAGTTTTATAAGCAGTAAAACTAAATGGCTATTTCTCTTTACACATTTTTCTCTTAGAAAAAAGCCCAATGCCTCTGGAAAACTGACTTTAATCATTATCAAGCCTAACTTTGCCTCTGTTCGGTAACATAACTACAAACGCAAATTTTTTTAAGTCAAGGGATTTTAAATCATGAGTTCATTTCTAGCTTACCAATTAGGTACTGTAACTGACAAAAAATCTGATGGATGATAAGTATCAGATTATCTGGATTTATGAAATAGTATTAAAAGAGTCCCAAGGACTCTGTAACCCATTTTTTCTTTTTTTTGAAGACTTATTTAAAATATAACTATTTTGTTAGCTGATTTAAAAAATAAATCTAATATAAAGGCTAGTCCACAGACAAAATGTGGCCCTGCTTGAAATCCAGCCAACAGCGACGAGCACTATTAAAAGCTCTGGTAGTCATTGTGACCTGGCATTAAGAGGCCTCACGTTTTCAACACAGGTATGCTTTAGTTTAAATGAATATTAAGATTTAGTTCTGAAATCTGAGGACACAATCCACAAAGTAAAATCACAGTAGTTTTTCCTTCTGTTACAGTGATCCAGTTTATAACTCCTCCTTGTTAAACTACCTTTCCAGGACAGATAGAAATTATAATTGAAATTATAATCACAGAACAAAATCACTCCAAACATTTAAAACTCGTATTTGAAAAGCAGTTCACAATATTACATCTAAGTTGCACAGAAGACCCCAGTGATCACTGGGAAATCTACCACAGTCCAGTTTTTCCAGCCCAAGCAGGTCCAAACTTTGGGGAATAATGTGGCCACCTTCTGCTGAGGCTCTAAAAAATATTCTATCAAAACGAAGCTTACAAGTAGCAGCTATTCCAAGATTAGAGTTCATTTGTGTATCCCATGTATACTGGCAATGCTTAGGTTTGCCCAAAAACTCCCAGACATCCAAAATGTTGTTGGGTAAACCACCACATTTGGTAACCTGAAAAGAAAAAGAAAGAACTCTTTTCAGTCTTTTTCCCCTTAAATTAAACAGGTCTTTACCATGACTGCATCCAAGTACAACTTTTCCAGTCAGAATGCCACAGATTATTTGTTGATGCACAAATGCAAAACTGGGTACAACTAGATATTTTATAAAAGTAGTTTACTGCATGATAATAAGTAGGTAATATAAAGATATCAAGAGAGCCAGAGAGGTCTGAAATTTGCCCTTTGTCTTCTAACATAAACAGATTCCTAATTTTGGGTATCACTTAAAACCGAGAAGACTGAAAACCCATGGCCTCAGTTATTGTTATTAGTAGTTTTAAAAAAAATGAACGTAAGTGTAGAGAAGGCAAAACTGTTACTCTAAGCTATAAATTTAGACGTATACCATTTTATATGATCTAATAATGTCAAATACCTGCAGGGTTTTTTTTTGGTTCTTTTCTGTTTTTTTTTGTTTTTTTAAATAATAGTCATGCTAATGCCTGTGAAGTGGTATCTCATCATGGTTTTGATTTGCATTTTTCTCATGACCAATGATATTAAACATCTTTTCAAGTACTTATTGGCCATTTGTATGTCTTCTTTGGAGAAATATCTTAATCTTTTGCCTTTTTAATTTTTTATTTTGTATTGGGATATGGCCGATTAACAATGTGATAGCTTCTGGTGGACAGCCATACATATACACGTATCCATTTTCCCCCAAACTCGCCTCCCATTCAGGCTGTCACATAACACTGAGTAGAATTCCATGTGTGTTGCACCCATTTTTTAATGAGATTTTTTATTAACTGTAGGAGGTCTTTGTATATTTTGAATATCAATCACTCATCAGATATATGACTTGGAAATATTTTCTAACATTCCATGGGTTGCCTTTCACGCCACTGATAATATCCTTTAATGCACAAAAGTTCATTCTGATTAAGTCTACCTTATCTATTTTTTCTTTTGTTCTCTGTGCTTTTGGTATCATATCTAAGAAATCACTGCCAAATCCAATGTCATGAAGATTAAAAAAAAAAAGGTTGAAAAAAGAAAATCTCAGTAGGAAGAGTTAGGGAAAACTAGGCTGGTCAAATCTTTGTTCTTCTCACCTTGCAACTAGAGAAACTGAAAATAAAGCGACCTTTGCTAAACTAAAAGAGTTTATTATTTTCTCTACACCCCTCTTTTTAATCAATATATTGTTTTGTGTTGTCCTTTTCATATGCTATATATATATATTTCACTAATAATGTAAGTCTCCCTGCCTCTCCTTTCCCTGAGTAAGGCAAGTAGTGCAGTCTAAATTATTCACTGAACTGCATCTGCAGGGCCACTTACAAGTAATGAACAAATGAAGGTCCTAGTCAGCTTTAGTCAAAAGAAACCTAGGGGACTTCCCTGGTGGTCCAATGGCTAAGACTCTGCGCTCCCAAGGCAGGAGGCCCCTGTGTGATCCCTGGTCAGGGAACTAGATCCCACATGCCTCAACTAAGGGTTCGCATGCTGCAACTAAAGACCCCACATGCCGCAACGAAGATCCAGTGCAGCCATGAACAAAATTAAAAAAAAAAAAAACAAAAAAACCCACACCAAAAACACAAGAAATCTAAATAAATTCCACAGCAATAAACTGCCCATAAACACTGAACTGACTTCATCACTCACTTCCTGATCCCTGAGATTTGTATCTCCAGCAAATATAACTGTAGCTGATTCTGGAGCCTCTTGCATTTTCTCTAAAACCATTTTCAACTGATTCATTCGTTCCTTAGCGTGCCCTCTGGTGCTTTCCAAATGAGAAGTCATAAGGCAAAGCTCATTTCCTGACACACTCACCTGCGACAAGACAAAGAAGAAGAGTTGAGAAAATGATCCACTGTTAACACTGAACTTTGTTAACAGAATCAGTAATTATTCAATTGATTGGTTATATATTAATATTCATTAAAGTGAAACTGTATCATCAGCACTGGGCTTATCTCTAAAAGGTCAAAGAAGACTCCCAAAGAATACTGAGCAAGTACCCACTAATACTTCAAGACCTAACCCCAATGTCCACTCCACCGTGAGCCCTTTCCCAGTGTCCTAGGTCTGTGGCTCCCCCTTCTATCCTCCTGCAGAACACTGCAGACTGCTCATAAGATTAAACTGCAGCACAATTACATCTCTCCCACAAAGCTGTTGAATCATTCGAAAGCAAAGAATGCTCTTTTATTTTCTACTATAGTATCAAGAGCCTGGCACATAGGTAATTCAAAATAATATCAGTTAAATGATTAATGAATGAATGAGAATCACTTACCATTTGCAATGAAGATACCAACAATGTAAGATCTGTCAATATTTCAACTAACTGCCTGCAGAGTCAAGTCCAAATTCTTTTATACTGGGCATTCATGATCTCTTATAATCTGGATCCAACCTACTTTACTAGCCTCTCATCACACCACCCCTCTTAGTACCCTCTACACTCAACTGAATAGAACACTTATTTCGAGCTATACGTGCCCTCTTTCATATAAACATATCCTGCTATTTGCAATTTGCACAAGTTTGCTCATGGTGGTTCTGCCACCAGCACTGTTCTTAATGTCTATATTTTACGTATTTTTCAGGGCCCAATTCAAATACAACTTCCATCATGAAACCGTCACTAAACAATGCAGCTAAAAGTCATCTCTTCTTTCTCTAAGCTTTCAAGGCACAAGATTACACCTCTCCTACAGCATTTATGCCTTTTCTTTATTTTAGCTACTATACATATAATCTCTCCCCTGCTAATATACGAAGTCTATGAGAGCAAGACCTATTTGACTAAGTTTTGAAAGACTCACAGAATCCAACACAGTACCAATTACAGTGCATTTAATTAAAAAAAAAAAAAACTAGAAAGCAAATGTGGAATGTTAGCAAACTCATATATTAAGAAAATATCTAATGAATCAAGGATCTTATTTTTACAAATTTTCTGTATTTGAAATGTGTCTAAAAATTTAATTTATAAAGTTCTCTTAGACTATTTAAAAGAACCTGTAAGTGAGGAGTAAATATTTCTCTAAATATAATGTTTTATTTTTTTTAAAAGACATCATCAGGGAGCTATGAAAAAATTAGTTCATTCTTCTTTTTAAGTCAATTTAAAAAAATTACTTACATGCACACACAAAAGGTTTCTCATCATTTGCGTATTTGGAAAAGGAATAATTTCTTGGCTTTTAAACTTCACTCTCGATTTCTTCAACATTATAGCTGTGAAATATCCTTCTTCATGACCTTCAAGTGTTTGTGGAAAAGAATGTAGGCTGAGAGGTCAGGGGTATTTGCAGTTTACCCCAAGTTCCCCTACTGAAAATTCTATTTTAACAAACAGGTACAGAATTTAAATGGATCTACATCTTAAGAGTAAACTATTACTTCAGAATAGTTGAAGATGGCCAACCAAGTCCCAACATAATTGAAGTATGGAAGAATTACAAAAATGTAGCTGGAAATACGGAAGAAATACAAAAATAAAAATGAATTTACATAAATGCCCCAAACAGTTAACAGTGCTAATATCAAATATAAAAAACTGAAAAAATGTTGAAAGGCAAGAGTATGGGACAAATTGAGGCAACTTGATATGAAGTCACTTTTAACTCTGAAAGCACCAGAAAAATCACAGAAGGGGAATTAAAAATTTAGAAAGTAAAAACTTACAAGAAGAAACGAGAACAGAAGTGGGGGGCAGTGAATAAGAGTTTCCCAGTTTTTCAGAGAGCGAAGCAGACGGAGAAGGGCTGGCTGGTTTAATCAGAACAGAGGGAAACCAGAAAAAGAAGAAAAGGGAGAGAAGGGAGGAAGAGCTGGAGAGGGACGGTCAGGGAGGAGGGTATCAGACTAGAAAGACAGCAGGTGGGCAAGGCAGCAGGAGGCAAGGAGGAGGAAAACAGGGAGCAAAGGAGAAAGAGAAAAACGAATTTACTAGAACCAAAGGTTATGAACCTCCAGACTGAAAGGTCCTACCAAGTGTTAAGCATAATAGATGAAAAAACACTGGCTTTAGAAAAAGAGGTTCAAAATTTCCTGAACAGGAATTTGAATGCCATCAGACTTAATGATCAATAATGGAAACCAGAAAATACTGAAATCATGCTTTCAAAATTCTGCAGGAAAATGACTTTCTACCTAGAAATCTATGTCCAGCCAAACTATCAAAGAACTCTGAGGATAAAACACTGGCACATGCAAATAGGATGGGATTCAAACACTTCACTCCTACTCCGCTACTTCTTAGAAAGTTACTAGAGAATGTGCGCCAACAAAATGAAGAAGTAAAGCAAGAAGGGGCAAAGCGTGGGATTCAGAAAACAGGATAAGAGAAGACAGGCAAAATGAATCCCCAAGAGAATGCAGAAAAGTTGTCCCACAGAGAGAGAGAGAAAAAGACAAAGAGAATTCTCCCTTTAGCAATTCTGGATTAAAAAGTAAATCAAAATTGAAATCATATACTAGGCAAAAGTGAAAGTCAAAGAAAATATGAGATTTAGCCAAAAATCATGAAATGAAGCCGAAGTGGTACACTAAATGCACTTAATAAAAGCAAAATAGATGAAAAGTCAAAAGCTAAAACATTTTTTTTAAAAAAACTAAAATATTAAGGGCAAAAAAGTAGAAAAAAGAACAAAAAGAAATAAAAAGAAATTGGTAAAGACTCTTTGAAAAACATAACCACAATGTGATCATCACACTTGAACATTCTCCAACAATTTGATTTCACCAAAAAGCTAATCCATGCCTTAAATTTTGGCAATTTTACATTTTTCTGAAAAATCATCCATTTTAACCACTTCTTCACATATATAATATCTTCTCCTATGATTTTTTTTAGTATCGGAGAGTGTGACTTCTTTTTCTCAAGCTTACTGTATTTGTGCTTTTTTCCCCTATGTTCCAATTGTTTAACTTTGATTTATCTCTCTCCTTGACTTGTTTTGCAAAAAAAAAAAAGACAAGTTAAATAACAGAAAAATTGTTACCTGTAATAATCTCGTAACTACTTGCTTTCTTCTTTAGGTAGGCATAATATGGGGGAATAACTTCCTGTAGAAATATCACATCAGGGCTGTACCTAATTAAGCACATCAATTTATGATAAGTACCAGGTATATCATTTCATTTGCAGCTACCTAATAGGAAAATACCACAGCATAAAAGAAACACAAAATATAGTCCTCTAGGACACCTACTATTCGATGTTTACATTGATCTTTGATAACTATAAAATGAGAAAGATCTGTGCTACTTAACACATAATACTGTAAAGATCAAATTTAAAAAAAAAAACATATATATGACAACCCTTTAAAGTCGGAAGAACTGGAATCACTGACAGTAGATACCCAGTAATATTAAGACCTTCCAATTGTCTTATACTCTCATAGATGCCTGAAGTGTTGTTGTCTCTTTCTGTCCTCTTGAAACGGTTATTATCCATGATGAAGAAAATGGAGCTCCAAGCTCCAGAGAATTGAAGTGGCTCTCAAGTGGTTCTACAAGGTCAGAGAGCCAGTGTGTGGCAGATACAGATCACACTGGCAATTTCCTTTTCACAGCAATAATTACATAACAAGTTTAGTAAGTAAAATAGTACCAGAAGACTTCAAACAAAAGTTAGTGTTCCCTTTGAACTCCAACCCACAGTCCTGCTCCCAGAGGCAATCATTCCTGATTCTTTCTGATATTTCCTCTGACAGCTGGACTCTGAAGTCAGGACTGATTGCAAAGCCCATAACCTTGATCTATTACCCTCCTTGTAGGCAGGTAAGACACATTATCACACCATGATGAAACAGATGTAATAATACTTACAAAGCTAAATATGAACACACCCCTCGAGCCCTCTCTAGCAGATTGTTCATGTCCAATCCATCAATATTCCAGGTAATGAAAGAGAATACGCTGCCATCTTCTTGCTGAACACTTTTATCTTCAGATGTGCTGGTTTTAGAACGAACGGAATCATTTGTCTCTTCCTTGGTTAGGTCAACACTGGCAAGAGCAGAATGAAACATAACTCTGCAAATAATCTAGAAACTGATTAACTTAAAAATTATTTTTCAAATCTTTGTAGCCCTCATTTTACAGGTAAGTAAAATTCTCTTGCTGAAACTGGATTTGTTATTTTTATTGCAATTCATTATCAATTTTGAATTTCACATTTATTCTTAGTCTTCCTCATTGCAAAGTTGGGCAGGGGGTAAGTACATTTTAAGAGTCCTAAACTATCTGCTTATAGAAGAGCAAGAGTCTGATGACTAGAGAAAACTAGACTCTGTGTTATGCAAAAGTCTGTTCACTTAGAACCAACTTGATATCCCTCAGTGACATAGGTCATTAAAATAACTTTATAGACTACAACCCCAAATTAGATTGAGTATGTAAGATTTCCACATTTATTTGGATTCATTTTAAATCATATTTGAAATATGGTGCCAGACAAAGAATGGCTACAATTTTGTTATTTGCCTCACTGAGAGGGGAAGTCCAATGAACACCCTTCTCCTTGAATCTGGGCTTTAGTGACTTACTTGATCAACAGAACACAGTGAAAAGGATATTCTGGGATTTCTGAGGCTTGGCCATTAGAAGCCTTGCAGTTTTCACTCCAGTCTTTTGGAACCTCTGTCCAAGAACCTTGAGCTCTCACATGAGCAGTCTGACTGCTCTGTGACTGCCATGCTGGAGAGACCACATGTGTAGGTTCTAGTCCTCAGGCCTGCCTGACTCCACCTCCCCCATCAAGGCCTGGACATTGGCGTGGAGGGGCAAACATTACTAAAAGGTGACTCCTAAACATTTATATCACACACACAAATTTCAGAACTAGGGTTTTGTATTTATAATTTTAGTATATTTAATGCCAGTAATTTAACTTCTTTTAGAAAATTGTATTTTATTTTATGGCCTTGCCACGCAGCTGGCAGGATCTTAGTTCCCCAATTAAGGACTGAACCCCAGCAACAGCAGTAAAAGCTCCAAGTCTTAACCACTGGACCACAAGGGAACTGTCCCCCTCCCCAATTTTTTTTTAAATTAAAATATAATTAACCAGTATGGGGGACGAATCCATACCAGGGGCCTCCTGATCTAACGCACTGAGGACAGCCTACCACTCTGTGTCACATAGTATAATGTATATAAAACATTATACCAGCTTCAGGTACATAATATAATGATTCAATATTTGTATACACTGCAAAATGCTCACCACTGTAAGTCAACTATAAACTTCCTTTGGAAATAATTTCAGACTTTCAGAAAACAGTAAAAAGAATTCTACTCACCATTCATACAAATAAATGTTAACATTTTACTTATTTAACATTTACTTGCTTTACTTGTTATTCAGAAACATTTGCATAAGTATTTTGAATGCACTGATACCCTGGAGAAGGAAATGGCAACCCACTCCCTATTCTTGCCTGGAGAAGCCCACGGACAGAGAAGCCTGGCAGGCTACAGTCCATGAGGTCAAAAAGAGTGGGACACGACTGAATGAGCAAACACACACACCTAAAGATAAGGACATACATATACACCCTAGTACAACTATAAGAAAAGCAACAAAGGAGGAAGAAAAAGGTTCTAGGCAGAGGTGATAAATATCTTTACAAGAGCTGAAAGGCAAGAAAAAAAGGACCCACTGGAGAAAAGAAAAGTTTGACATGTCTAGAATGTAAAGTCAAGTCGGCCGTAGGAAGCATCACTATGAACAGATAGTTGAGGAATTGGAATTCCAGTTGACCTATTTCAAATCGTAAAAGATGATGTTGTGAAAGTGCTGCACGCAATATGCCAGCAAATCTGGAAAACTCAGCAGTGACCACAGGACTGGAAAAGGTCAGTTTTCATTCCAATCTCAAAGAAGGGCAATGCCAAAGAATGCTCAAACTACCGCACAATTACACTAATCTCACACAATAGCAAAGTAATGCTCAAAATTCTCCAAGCCAGGCTTCAACAGTATGTGAACCGTGAACTTCCAGATGTTCAAGCTGGATTTAGAAAAGGCAGAGGAATCAGAGATCAAACTGCCAACATCTGTTGGATTATAGAAAAAGCTAGAGAATTCCAGAAAAACATCTACTTCTTATTGACTATGCTGAAGCCTTTGACTGTGTGGATCACAACAAACTGTGGAAAATTCTTCAAGAGATGGGAATACCAGACTACCTGACCTGCCTCCTGACAAATCTGTATGCAGGTCAAGAAACAACAGTTAGAACTGGACACAGAACAACAGACTGGTTCCAAATAGGGAAAGGAGCACGTCAAGGCTGTATACTGTCACCCTGCTTATTTAACTTATATGCAAAGTACATCATGAGAAACGCTGGGCTGGATGAAGCACAAGCTGGAATCAAGATTGTCGGGAGAAATATCAATAACCTCAGATGACACCACCCTTACGGCAGAAAGTGAAGAGGAACTGAAGAGCCTCTTGATGAAAGTGAAAGAGGAGAGTGAAAAAGTTGGCTTAAAACTCAACATTCAAAAAATTAAGACCATGGCATATAGTCCCATCACTTCATGGCAAATAGATGGGGAAACAATGGAAACAGTGACATAATTTATTTTCTTGGGCTCCAAAATCACAGCAGGTGGTAACTGCAGTCACAAAATTAAAAGACGCCTGCCCCTTGGAAGAAAAGCTATACCTAACCTAAACAGCATATTAAAATGCAGAGACATTACTTTGCTGACAAAGGTCTGGCTAGTCAAAGCTGTAGTTTTTCCAGTAGTCATGTATGGATGAGAGAGTTGGACCATAAAGAAAGTTGAGCGCCAAAGAATTGATGCTGTTGAACTGTGGTGTTGGGAGAAGACTCTTGAAGAGTCCCTTGGACTGCAAGGAGATCCAACCAGTCCATCCTAAAGGAAATCAGTGCTGAATATTCATTGGAAGGACTGATGCTGAAGCTGAAACTCCAATATTTTGGCCACCTGATAAGAAGAAATGACTCACGGTTAAAAACTCTGACGTTGGGAAAGACTGAAGGCAGGAGAAGAAGGGGACGACAGAGGATGAGGATGGTTGGATGGCATCACCGACTGGACGGACATGAGTTTGAACAAGCTCTGGGAGATGGTGATGGACAGGGAAGCCTGGTGTGCTGCAGTCCATGGGGTCGCAAAGAGTTGGACACGATTAAACGACTGAACTGACTGACTGACATGGCTGGAAGTTTTGTGGGGTAGGAAAGAGAGCGTGACAGGAGACGAACCTAGAAAGACAGGCAGTGGTCAAACCGTGGGGAAACGTGTAAGGCATACCGACTTTAAGAGCATAAATGCAGGAATTGGGGAGGGAGCAGTGGAATAACAGGGGCGGATGAGCATTTTATAAAAACCATTATCCTGGCCGGCCAGCAGAGAGTAAACAATAGGAAGCAAGGAGACTTCCAAGCTACCATTCTTCAGTAGAGGATTTTGTGTCTCATCCATTTCGAAACGCTCGCTTACCTATTCCCTACACCTGGAATAAAAAATTCCATTTCTGATATTTCTCCCTGGGACTCCAAAGTACATCCGAAGTGACACAGCCTGGACTTCTCAGGAGAAACGTGAGCCCCTATGCTGGGGCAGGTCTCATCTACACCAACCCTCCTCTTTCGGCTACTCAGACCCAAGGCCCGTCTCTGCGCAGACTCGCCGCCTAACTCGATGGCGGGTCCTGGATGCCCAACGCAACCGGGTACCCGACTGCCTCCGCCCGAACCCCGGCCGGTCGTCACCCACCAGGACTCGGGCTCAGAGGGGGACTCAGGACGGCTTTCTGAAGCGCTCTCCTCCACGGCCGGCTCGAAGTAGGAGTTCAGTGCTCTCTGCAAAACAAAGACACAGGGATGGGACGTACGCCTGCACCACCAAGGTGAAGAGCCGGCAAGAGAGAAGCAGCGAAAGCTTACTTCCATCTCCCAGTCGTTCTCGGCCAGGTAGCACTGAGCCACAGCGGCGTCGCAACTAGCGACCGAAGCAAACTCCGCACACAGGAGTCTCCGCTTCTTCACCTCGGGCTCCCCTTCCTCCAGCTCCGCTTCCGGCCCAGCCTCCAGCCCGCTGTTCCGCTCCATGGGTTCCTCGCACGTTCACTGCACCTTGAACCCGGCCGGGAGTTGACGGGGGGGGGGGGGGGGGGCGGGCGGGGACGGGGACAGTCAGGCGCCAGACTGCACAGGCGCCCAGCGCCCGCAGCGCTAGCCCATCCACCGCCCGCGAGAAAACACGCTCGCCTCTCGGAAGACGGTAGAGCGCCTGCGCAGCAAGAAAGTCATCCCGGGATGGCGCGGGCCAAACTGCGCATGCGTGCGCTGTCACGACGCGCTAAATATTAGTGCGCCAGCTGCCACGGTGAGGGACAGTTGCGGCAGGTGCGCTCGACGGCGGGCCTGGAACGCTCTTCGGGTGCAGAGGGCTGTTGACCCTTTGTGTCCTTGTTCTTTTGCGAACTTTGGGGCTCCCCTGCTCTTCCAAGACTCAGTCTTAAGTGGGGCCTGGGATCCGGCGATCGGTCCACGATGATCTGGTTGAAGAAGGCAAAGACTCTGTTGGAGTGGGTAATGCACTCAGGCAACTTTCACAGTTTCGACAGAAACCTGGAAAAGGTATTAAAGGCGAAGGCGCGGTTTCTAACGAAGGGAAAGAAAGCGCCCTCCTTGGTTCGTGGGTGAACGCTGGATAAGTTGTTTCTGGCTAGATTCTTTTGGATTGAGTCCCTAAACTCAACTTAGTAGTAATGATTACTGCTTTGATGGAGTAGAGTTATGTGCTAGGTGTGCCTACGTTCATCTGTCCTTTTATAAAAGGAAAAGGTTAAGTGGGTAAGTCAGCAAAATGGGTTTATCTCAGGAATGGCAGAGGAGTTACATGTTGGGACTTGCAAACTGAGGCTAACCGTGGGCAAGTCCTCAGCTGTTGTTCTATAGAGAGAATAGGAGACAGTTGAGAGGGGCTGTTTTGAACAAGTTCTTGGAGGAGAGGAGAGTCGGGTTTGTGGTGGTGTCTCATTGAGTTGCGGAGGTTTCTTAGCTTGTTGCTGATAAAATCTTCCTTTTTCCTGCTGGGATTTATAAAGTAAACTGGGAGGAGTGGTAAGTGGGGGAAAGTGCCCCTTTTAGGGCTTCACCACCCCCTTTGGAAGGAGGTGTTTTATAATAATTATTATATAATCACAACATTGTATAATTAAAAAGAAATAAGTTAATTTTAGTAAAATAGTTTAACAAAAATATTTTAACATGTAGTCAATACAAAAAGGGCTAACTTTCTGTACTTTGAAATCTCGTGTAAACTGTACACTTAAAGCACATCTCAGTTCATACTAGCTGTGTTTCAAGTGCTCACTACTGACAGGTGGCTAGCGGCTACCGTATTAACTGCACAGGTCGGTATCATGATAGGTGCTCTGTGTGTTAATTTGATCAAAAATAGATTTTGCAGTTGTTTCCTGTGGGCAGATTTGCTCAGGCTAAATAGGTTTATGCATAGTGATTTGTAAATCTAGTCATGAACATGGTTTCTTTTACTGTGAGTTTTAAGGTAATGTGATCTAGACCAGTGGTTCTCAATTGGGGGTGGTTTTGCTCCCCATGGGACATTTGGCGCAGTGTCCTGCCACCCTTATGGCAGAAACTGAAGAGGAACTAAAAAGCCTCTTGATGAAAGTGAAAGAGGAGAGTGAAAAAGTTGGCTTAAAGCTCAACATTCAGAAAACTAAGATCATGGCATCCGGTCCCATCACTTCATGGGAAATAGATGGGGAAACAGTGTCAGACTTTATTTTTTGGGGCTCCAAAATCACTGCAGATGGTGATTGCAGCCATGAAATTAAAAGACGCTTACTCCTTGGAAGGAACGTTATGACCACCCTAGATAGCATATTAAAAAGCAGAGACATTACTTTGCCAACAAAGGTCCGTCTAGTCAAGGCTATGGTTTTTCCAGTGGTCATGTATGTATGTGAGAGTTGGACTGTGAAGAAAGCAGAGCGCCAAAAAATTGATGCTGTTGAACTGTGGTGTTGGAGAAGACTCTTGAGAGTCCCTTGGACTGCAAGGAGATCCAACCGGTCCATCCTAAAGATCAGTCCTGGCTGTTCATTGGCAGGACTGATACTGAAGCTGAAACTCAATACTTTGGCTACCTCATGGGAAGAGTTGACTCATTGGAAAAGATCGTGATGCTGGGAGGGACTGGGGGCAGGAGGAGAAGGGGACGACAGAGGATGAGATGGTTGGATGGCATCACCAACTCGATGGACATGAGTTTGAGTAAACTCTGGGAGTTGGTGATGGACAGAGAGGTCTGGCGGCTGTGATTCATGGGCTCTCAAAGAGTCGGACACAACTGAGTGACTGAACTGAACTGAGACATTTTTGATTACAACAGGAGTGTGTGGTAGGAGTGGTGGGACTGGCATCTAGTGAGTAGAGTGGAGGGATGCTGCCAAACATCCCCAGTGCACAGATTCCCTCCCCCTGTCCCCACAGCAGAGAATGGTGCAGTCCAAATGTCAGCAGTGCTGAGATTTTGAAAACTTGACTTAAAACCATGCTGTTAATCATTCACTTTGACCTAGGTCAAAAGTAGATAAATTGCTACCCTTATTCTTATGTACATATAAATCATGTCTTTGCACTGGACTTAGAGTTGACTGTTCAAATCATATGATTTCTTTCTTTAAATCTCTGGTTAATAATTCTTTAAAATCTTTTAATAAAAAAGTGTAGTTTTTGTGCCTTATTGGATCTTGACTGACAAATCATTTTATGTCAAAAAATTGTCTCTTTGGTGATTTAAATATGACACCAGAGATTCTTCAAGGCAAGAAATGCTCACTTTTAAGTACAGGATTTTAAAATGCAAGATTACTGTTAAAATTAAACTGGAGTAAAAGATGTACATGGTCTCTCAGACACACTTGTCCTCTTACCCCATTGCTTTTGTAAAGACTAGAAGGAATAATGTTTCTGGGTGTAAGAAGCAAGTGAGATGTACAGAACTATTGTGTCAAGTCTGCCCCATTACCCACTCCCACAAAGTCAATGAATCAAGTACAAAAACACTGGAAAATTTGGCTGATAATATTCCAAAGAGGATTTTGTTTTGGGGACAGATGTTTGGAGATAGCATATAGAATCTGAAAAATGATAGTGACTTTCTGTCCCTCTACAAATGATCTGGCAAATTGAAAATTAGTTCTGGTATAGATGTCAAGTCAATGCATGAGATCGTACATTATACTGCTTTATCTTAGCCTGTCCTCTTTTTTAAAAAAACCTCTGTTTTATCAGTGTTTATAAACACCCACAGGACCTGTCTTTTATAAAACACTGATACAGAAAGACTAACACTCAAAATAAAGTCCTGATCTTGCTATAAGATCACTTTTAAATCAGTCAACAAACTTAAGTACTGTGAGATTATAAAGAAATACCCATCAACTTCCCAGGTGGCGCAGTGGTAAACTATCCACCTGCCAATGCAGGAGCTGCAGGAGACGCAGGTTCGATTCCTCAGTTGGGAAGATCCCCCGGAGGAGGAAATGGCAACCCACTCCAGTATTCTTCCCTAGAAAATTCCATGGACAAGAGGAGCCTGACAGGGTACATTTTATGGGGTCTCAAAGAGTCAGACACAACTGAGTGTGCACATACACACACCACACGCTCCCCATCACAATTCCTCACCCTTATCATCGAGGAGAGGGAAAAAGTGGGTTCCAAGGAACAGTCCCATCAGATGTGCCCTGAGGGGGAAAAAAAGTCCTCCAAATAATTTCAGAAAACATTGATGTTGTATCCCCTCTTTAGAATTGTGGTATAATACACATATTTTACCACATGGGGCATCCGTCGTGGCTCAGACAGTAAAGAATCTGCGTGCAAGGCAGGAGATCTGGGTTTGATCCCTGAGTTGGGAAGATCCCCTGGAGGAGGGTGTGGCAACTCACTCCAGTATTCTGCCCTGGAGAATCCCCATGGACAGAGGAGCCAGCCGGCTAGTCTTTGGGGTCACAAAGAGTTGGACACGACTGAGCACACACACACACACAACATAAAGTTCACCATCTTAACCATATTAAAGTATTCAATTCAGTAGTAATTTTTGCATTCACATAGTTGTACAACCATCACCACCATCCATCTTCAGAATTCATCTTGCAGACCTGGAACTCTACCATTTAGGCAATAACTTCTCATTCCCTTTTTTCCCCAGCTTTGCCAACCACTATCTATAGTCTGTGTCTCTGAATTTGACTGCTCTATGTACCTCATATGAATAAAGCCATTGCATCCCTTTTATATATTAAAGCTTTCAACTAGTTCTGCAGTAAAGAAACATGTTTCACTTTATCATGTTTAAGTTACTTGCCAATGGAACTCTCACCCCCACAATGACACATGTGAAAGTATATACTTCAGGAGTCTCAGGTGAGATCTGGAAACACCAGGTGAAATCCAACACACAAAGAAATAAGGGCAGGCGGTTCAGAAGCCAGGTTAAATTGTGTTGCGTCATCCTTGTGGAAATGAGAGGTAAAGTGTAGGTGAATGAGCTGTCTAGACTAGAGCACAGACTAGCGAGACGCATTAAAGATTTAAGACTGAACCCCGAGGACATACAGGGTTGAGAACAGTAAGTAGCCTTTGAAGGCTATAGAAATGGTTAGGAAAGTAAGAATAGACCTTATACTTACTAGAAAAACTTTGAGGCTTTGGCTCTACCACAAAAGGACAGTGATATTACTTAAAGTTTATCAACATGATATGCCAACAGGTATACCTGGACTAGGGAACAGATTATTTAGACTTCTCTCTTGCTATTTGATTTGTGATTTTATCATAATGGGCTCATCATATTTACATTCTTGCAGGGCATCACTCCTTCCTGGGAATAACTCTATTCCAGTAATACATACCGAACTAGATTAGCTGCAAAAATTCTCCCCAAGTTTGTGCTTTCCCTCGAGAGGAGATCTGGAGGAGTGAAGAGACATCACCCCAGTCCTCAATCTGTAGGTGGTGAGGAAGGTCTTTCCCTATTAGCCCCTCTTTTCCAGGTTGAAGGCAGCAGAGGCGCTGTAATTGAGAGAAACCTTGCCAACATGATTATTGTGAACATAGGCCTTCACAGCCTCTACCTTTGTAGGCATTCTAGACTGATTTGATAAAATCTGCCATTTACCAGCCTTTGGGAGAAATACTGCTTATAATCCTGCTTAGCACATCTCTCCTCACCATCACCACCCTGCCAGTGAACACGAGTGGAATGGTACTTCAGCTGGTTGAATCTTCAGGGAATATTTAAATTCCTCTGAGTGCTTCCCTAGGGCTTTGTTTGCCTCCCATGGCACCCATTTGTTAACTTTTGTTTTTGGTCTTCTCTCATAGTCTCTACCGGTTCCTCAGTCCATCAGTTTAGTCGCTGAGTCGTATCCAGCTTTTTGCAACACCATGGGCTGCAGCACACCAGGCCTCCCTGTCCATCACCAACTCCCAGAGTTTAATCAAACTCATGTCCATTGAGTCGGTGATGCCATCCAACCATCTCATCCTCTGTCGTCCCCTTCTCCTCCCACCTTCAATCTTTCCCAACATCAGGGTCTTTTCAAACGAGTCAACTCTTCGCATCACGTGGCCAAAGTATTGGAGTTTCAGCTTCAGCATCAGTCCTTCCAATGAATATTCAGGACTGATTTCCTTTAGGATGGACTGGTTGGATCTCCTTGCAGTCCAAGAGACTCTCAAGAGTCTTCTCCAACACCACAGTTCAAAAGCATCAATTCCTCAGCACTCAGCTTTCTTTATAGTCCAACTCTCACATCCATACATAACTAGTGGAAAAACCATAGACTTGACTAGATGGTCCTTTCCTGGCAAAGTAATGTCTCTGCTTTTTAAAATGCTGTCTAGGTTGGTCATAGCTTTTCGTCCAAGGAGCAAGTATCTGTTAATTTCATGGCTGCAGTCACCATCCGCTGTGATTTCAGAGCCCCCCAGAATAGTCTCTCACTGCTTCCATTTTTACCTTTATCTTTCAGTGTTCATTTCAAGTAACTTACGGGAGGGCAGGTTTACTTAGTGGCCCTGAGTCCGGTGGAGACAAACACACTGTCTACATGAAAGATTTGTGAGGACTGAGACAGTGTCTCCGTGCCTGTAAGACATGCATATACATTTCTGAGCATGGTCTCTAACACAGAGTTAGCCACAGTTAGCAACCAAATAAATACACGTGCTCCCTACAGCCGGTATCTTGACTGAAACCACAATCTTTTTTTTTTTTTTAAACAGTGTCCTCCCCTCAGCCCCTCTTCAACAGAGAGGTAGTTCTCCATTGGTTTCTTCCCCCACAAGACATGTTTCTTAGCTCTGGGAAGTTGGGTAGCAAATCGGTCTTCTGATTCGAAAGAAGAATCCGTCTGCATTGTTCTCTTCCCTTGGCTTACTTATTCTACTTAAGGAGACAAGAGCTGGCACTAGGGATTTCCTGATGGTCCAGTGGCTGCGACTCTGTTATCACTCCTGAGGTCCTGGGTTCAGTCCCAGGTTGGAACTAGGATCCTACAAGCTGTGCAACAGGGCCACAAAAAAAAAAGAATTGGTCACACAGAAAAGTATTTCTCTGCTATATCAGAGTGACCCGTGCAAGAGTATCTCTATTCCAGTATACATTTTCAGCCAATTTTGTATCTTAGTATGGCCTTTGGCTTTTCAAGTTGGGTGGGTGGGTTTAGTCACTCAGTCATGTCCAACTCTTGGCAACCCCATGGACTGTAGCCCGCCAGGCTCCTCTGTCCATGGAATTCTCCAGGCAAGAATACTGGAGTGGGTTGCCATTTCCTTCTCCAGAGGATCTTCCCAACCCAGGGATCAAACCAGGATCTCCTGCACTACAGGCAGATTCTTTTTTTCTTCCCCCCATATGATCTCACTTCATGTAGAACTAAGAAAAACAAAAGACAAACAGCTCACAGATACAGAGAACAGTTGGTGATTGCCAGAGGCAGGAGTGGGTGGTGGACAAAAGGTGAAGGAGCCAAAAGGTACAAACTTTTGACAGCATACAGCCTTGTCCTACTCCTTTCCCAATTTTGAATCAGTCTGTTGCTCCATGTCCAGTTCTAACTGTTGCTGCCTGACCTGCATACAGGTTTCTCAGGAGACAAGTGAGGTGGTCTGGTATTCCCATCTCATAAGAATTTTCCACAGTTTATTGTCATTCACAATCAAAAGCTTTAGTGTAGTCAATGAAGCAAAAGTATATATATTTTTTCTGGAATTCTCTTGCTTTCTCTATGAGCCAGTGAATGTTGGCAATTTGTTACCTGGTTCCTCTGAGCAGGCAGATTCTTAACCATCTGCACCACCAAGCTGGGGGAGAAGATCAGTACCAAAATCAGTATTCTGCAGTAGAAATTCAAATTGACATTTGTTTTACCTTTTGTCATCCCAGCCAAAGTTAGATAATCAAATGGAACACTAAGAACTGATCTCTGTTAAATACACTGTACCTTGAAATTATACTCAACTGCCTTTGGTGACCTGGAGAAGGAAATGGCAACCCACTCCAGTATTCTTGCCTGGAGAATCCCATGGACAGAGGAGCCTGACAGGCTACAATCCGTAGCGTTGCAAAAAGTCAGATGTGCTTGAAAATGCAGACGCACACACGCACCCACCTTTGGTGACTGTGAGGCTTTCCTGAACTGCCTAGCTTTATCAAACTGTCTTCACCTGGCTAAATTCTGCCCATCCTTCAATCTGCAAATAATTTCACAGGATGCCTTTCCTAATGTCTCTTCCCTGAAAACATACTTGGATGAGTAAGATCCTTACTTCCAGCAACCTGTATTTATCCTATCGACAGTCATTCACTGTACTGCAAGGTGCATGTATTGTTCCTATAGACTGGAAACCCCTTAAGAGCAGAGATTTGATCTTGTTCATCTTCAGACTGCGGTGCTTCAAAGTCTAGTAAATGCCCCAGTAAGGTGAGTTTATATCTTGGGTCTCCTTGGTGTGCATTATTAGTTTATGAGGACATCTTGTGGCTAGATCATTTATTGAATGATAATGATCCCATTCTAACATTCACTTTTCCATTGATTTACCTCTTAAGCAAAACATGACATACTATTTAGAATGGTTTGTATTTTATGGTTCTGTTTCTGTTTTATATCAGGGCCTTCTAAGGGGTAAACAGCAGCAAACAACTCAAGTTAGTTTGTGAAGTTCCAAAATGCCTTCCTGGTGGGAGCATAAAAGCTGCTGTATATCTAGAGATTCTACATATAGCAACAAGGGAGACTGGGAGGTGGATAGACTTAGACCTGAATCTCAATTCTGTCATAACCTTGGTGATCTTGAGAGTAAACCAGTCTGAATTTAAATTACTACAAAATGAAAACCATCTCTCCCTTATTACATAGTGCATGGAAAGAGTGGCACAGTGCCTGACTTACGAAAATGCTCAGTAAATGGTAGTTCTCTAGAATCGAATCGTTTAATACATGAGACACCCCTCCCTCCCCAGAGACATCACACAGTCATCCATATTCTGTCCGAAAACCTCTAGTGACAGCAAGAATTACTGCACTGGATGCAACACATTCCATTCACCGTTCAGTTCCAACTTCTAAACGTTATCTATGATTTTTTTCCTAGTAAATTAAATAGGATTTAAGAAACACATTTTATTTTTGTTCCCTTTCTAAAGATGTTTGATATGACATTTAAAATTAATTGTTCCACATTTTATCTTTCATGTAATTTTTTCATTATGATACTATAAATGGGGTAGGACCTTAAAAGCAGCAATTTAACTTTGCTGGATTCTATTAAACTTTTTTTATACTAAAGTAGGTTTGTGGTATAAGCTTGTTCTCATAACGTATTGAATTTCTTCCAGCCTATTTTAAAAATTGTTTTAAACCATTCATTATGAAGTCATTCTAAAATTACTTTGTGCAGTAACTAGGGAACATCCAAATTAAAATTACAATGCACCAACAGATCACAAGGACCGCCTGACTTTGTTCGTGCAAAATTTCTGAGAAGACATTAAGAAATGCCAGGTTGCTGTACATAAAGCTGAAAAGCTCAGATGGAATGTTTGATTTCTGCAAAGTAGTGGAGATTAAGAAAAACTACTCCTGTTTTTCCCTAAATATTCCTTTTTATTTCAGAACAATTTACTCCAGAATTCAATTCTATCAAGAGAGACTGGTAACTTGATTTTCAGTTTCTGAATCAACTTTTGGAGGTGGCTTGGTTTAATCCAATGACAGTTCTTGGTAGAGCTATTTGTGCTTTTCTAATACCACCAAATATTCAAAATTCTCTTTTCTTTTTTAACACTTAGATGACTGTTGTTTCTGCTGCCGCTGGGAAAGTGATTTGTGAAATGAAAGTAGAAGAGCAGCATGCCAATAAAATAGGCACCCTCCACGGCGGCCTGACAGCCACCTTAGTGGATGTCGTGTCATCGCTTGCTCTGCTGTGCACAGAAAGAGGTATAAGCGGAGTCAGTGTTGATATGAACATAACGTACGTATCCAAAGTGTACCCTAAATCACTTTTCTCAATGTGATAACTCATTTCAAACAACTGAGACTACACACATTTATAACAGAAATAAAGCATGAGTTGCCCTTAGCTGGTCATCCTTAAGTGCAGCTACAGATTTGCCTTAAAAACATTCCATGGTTTTAGAATCTACAGCTAAAGGGATTTCTAAGTATAGTATATATTAGTAATAATAATATAATCAGGAATATATAATCAGTGATAAAGGGAAGTCAAGGGGACCTTAGGAAGCATCACTATGAACAAAGCTAGTGGAGGTGATGAAATTCCAGCTGAGCTATTTCAAATACTAAAAGATAATGCTGGGAAAGTGCTGCACTCAATATGCCAGCAAATCTGGAAAACTCGGCAGTGGCCATAGGACTGGAAAAGGTCAGTTTTCATCTCAATCCCAAAGAAAGGCAATGGCAAAGAATGCCCAAACTACCACACAATTGCACTCATCTCACACAATAGCAAAGTAATGCTCAGAATTCTCCAAGCCCAGGCTCCAATGTTATGTGGACCGAGAACTTCCAGATGTTCAAGCTGGTTTTAGAAAAAGAGGAACCAGAGATCAAATTGCCAACATCCACTGGATCATAGAAAAAGCTAGAGAATTCCAGAAAAACATTTACTTCTGCTGTATTGACTACCCCAAAGCCTTTGACTGTGTGATTCACAATGAACTATGGAAAATTCTTCAAGGTGGGAATACCAGAACACCTCACCTGTCTCCTGAGAAATCTGTATGCAGGTCAAAAAGGAACGGTGAGAACTGGACATAGAACAACAGACTGGTTCCAGATCGGGAAAGGAGCACATCAAGGCTGTATATTGTCATCCTGTTTATTTAACTTATATGCAGAGTACATCATGTGGAATGTAGGACTGGATGAAGCTCAAGCTGGAATCAGATTGCTGCGCAAAATATCAATAACCTCAGATATGCAGATGACACCACCCTTACGGCAGAAAGCGTAGATGAACTAGTCTCCTGGTGAAAGAGGAGAGTGAAAAAGCTGACTTGACACTCAACATTCAAAAAAACTAAGATCATGGGATCCAGTCCCATCACTTCATGGCAAATAGATGGGGAAACAATGGAAACAGTGACAGCCTTTATTTTCTTGGGCTCCAAAATCACTGCAGATGGTGACTGCAGCCACGAAATTAAAAGGTGCTTGCTCCTTGGAAGAAAAGCTATGACCAACCTAGACAGCATACTAAAAAGCAGAGACATTACTTTGCCAACAGAGGTCCATCTTGTCAAAGCTATGGTTTTCCCAGTAGTCATGTATGGATGAGAGTTGGAAAGCAAGCTGAGCACTGGAAGAATTGATGCTTTTGTGGTGTTGGAAAAAGAATCAATTTTTCCACCTAAGCTACAGAAGATATGATTTTTGTTGGAAGGGGAGGCAGAAGTTAAGAGTGGGAAAGCCAATGTTATTTGACAGGAGGTCAATGTAAACAACGTATCAACAGGTTTCAATCTCAATCTTTCCTTAGGCTAATTTAACATTTAGTCTGTCTTTACTATGGAAATGAGCATGCTGTAAGCAAATCACAAGATTAAAATGCAAAGGGTCTTTTGAGATTAAGATGAACAAAAAGAACTGCTGGGGCATTGAGGCATGCATTCAGCAGTTCTTCCCTTATTCCATGTGATGAGGGTTAAGACTGCCTAATGACCCTGCTTTGCCTCAAGACTATCAGGAGCAGAGATCTTCCAACCTAGCACTGCACTTCATGATCTTCCAAGATACCGCTATTACAACCATAAATCATAAATAATCCAAACATAATTTTGGCCTTTAAAAGTCTGTGTAGCCGAAGTTTTGGCCACCATCAGGAGCTGCCTGAAATCCAAGAGGGCCTCATATTAATTCCTTATAGTTTTTAAATCATTTTAGAGCTGAGTAACTTCTGCATATTGATAACAAAACAGCAAGTATTACCTCACATAGGAAGTTAAGCAAATTAAATGAAAGCTTGGGGGAATCTTTCACTAGCCCCAAATAAATATGAAGTAGGAAACCTAAAAACAAAGGGCCGCAGGGCTGGGGAGCAGTTGAAAACCCCTGTGTTTATGGGAAAGCAAACTTGTGTGCATGTAAGCAATCAGTAAGAGCTAACTTGGGTCAGGATCTGCCATTCAAATTAGAAAGGACAGAAAGTTTACTGATATTATTCTTGAACTACCTAGGAAAAAAAATAAGGCAGGTGTTATGAGATGCACTCAACTTTCTCTTTTAAAAACTGTTAATTTAAATATTTCCTTTCAAGGTACCTATCACCTGCTAAAATAGGAGATGACATACTGATTACAGCACATGTTTTGAAGGAAGGAAGATCACTATCATTTGCTTCTGTGGATCTGACTAACAAGGCCACGGGAAAATTAATAGCACAAGGCAGACATACCAAACACATGGGAGACACACCATGTGAAGCCAACAAGAAGTAGTCCAACAATGAGTGTCCAGAGTCAACCTGATTTGGACAAATGTAATTTTCAAAATAGCACAACCGGAAGTAGCCAAGAAAGTGTCTTTGGGGAAAATGCCAGAGATCAAGTGGGATACAGGACAGGGGGTTGTCTATGTTCTTTGATTTCGAGCCTATTAATGATTAATCCTTAAATTGTAGGTCCTCAGCTCTAAAATGCTGTTTTTTTAAAAACCCAATTCCATTATGGAACTTCAGAGCAGAGGAACCACAGGGCACACTGAAAAGTAAGAGTGAGCAGTCCTCAAAAGTTTAAGGCAAAGCAGATTAGTGATAAATAGCCCAGTGGGTATGCTGCTTTTCTGACAATTCAGGATTGGTATATTTTATAGTGGTGGTAGTGGGAAGCATAGAATTACCCCTTTTCTAATACCTAGGATAAAACCATGCAGATCTTCAATCTCTTAATGCTTGGTATTGGAAAGACCAAGTTCACTAATTGTTTAGTCAATTTCTCAAATTTCTGTCAACTGTGGTATTTATAATTGGTTTCTGCATCAGGGTCTTAGTTCTAACATTTCACAATTGATCATAAAGAAAGGAAGTAATTTCCTTTGGAAGTTGGAAACAGTTAACAGTTAAAGGTTGATGAGCCTTTGGTTGTATTAGAATACAACATGCACATCAGAATATATATAGCCCTGTTTGCTGGAAGGGCAGAAGCAGACTTAATAACAACAGTGGGCACATAGGAAACCCAGATCTAGTATTGCCCACGAAAAGGAACTTGGGATCCTTGGAGAAAACAGCTGATTTCAGAGCTGGGGGTGGGATAGGGAAATAAGATGAACCTATCTTGTACTTGAAAGTCAAGAAGTGCTCAATAAAACAAGGCGTGAAAATTACATAGCAGTGTATGAGGCAGAGAGCTCAAACCCAGTGCTCTGTGATAACCTAGAGGGGTGGGAGGTGGAAGTTCATGAGGGAGGAGACATGTACACCCATGGGTGGTTTGTGCTAATGTATGATGAAACTCACACTACTGTAAAGCAATTATCTTCCAATTACAAATAAATAAACTATATACCATTGAAAAGAAATGAGTCCATACTGTTTAGGTGGCAATAAATGGCTGAGACAGGAGAGCCCTTCCTTGTTAACAGAACGCTGGCACATGTAGAGGAGTAAATATAAAATAGTAACTATAAAATGGGGAAACAGGACACCACCTTCACCAATGAACACGGACATCAATAAAAGAGCACATGAGCAGTATGTTTCTGGATATTAACTTCAGGGGGGTGCAACATACTCACAATGGGCAATGACCAGGATGCCCAATCCAAATTTAACCATAAAGGCAATCAAATACCAAATAAGGACATTGTTTTTTTTAAAAATTGGCCTGAACCCTTCAAAACTTGAGTATGGGGGCAAATTCTAAACCTTGGCACCTAGTTCCACTCAGGGCGGTTAGGTAAAGAGTTAGGTAAACAGTCCCTGACCAGGAGAAAGTGTTCACTTCAAATAGATTCCAATTGTCAATTGATCAGAAAAGATGGAAGTGCATTGTGAAATTAAGAATATTTTTGTCTTTTCCACGAAGCCAGGTATAAGGCCAGAATGGTAATTGTTAAAAGCTGACAAAATGTCTTTGATTCCCAATTCCTGTTGAAATTACAAACCCAACTTCTGAGGTTTACAGTTTAGCCATGGGCTAAGGTCTCAGTAACAGGTACCCAAGTGACTTAGAAGAAAAGTTACCACTTCGAGTTTTGTGTATTCACCTGAATAGTCAGGGAACTTTCACCTATTTTATTTAGGTTTTCATTCAAATTCCAACCAGAAGCTAAATACAATTGGAAACTGGTAAGCACTAAGTTTTACTCCAAAGGAGTAGGATCATTTAGATTTACTCCAATAAAAGTATGCAACCCTTAAGCAAAGCTTTTCTTCATTTAAAAGAAAAATAAAACAAAACTATACAGTAGTCTTTCCTCATGTTCATTGCACAAAATGAGTTCTGCTTTTAGAACCTTGACACTCAATGCTGTTTTTTTTCCTCCCCGCACAATTTAAGATCCCAACTTTAATAACTTTTCTACATCAAAAAAACCCTAAGTTTTCCTTTAGGATGGTGTAAAAACCAGTATTTCTGCACAATTCACTGGAATTGTTTTTCTTTATAATAAAAATCTCTTTTCAAAACCAAAAAAAAAAACCCAAATACCAAAAGGAAAGTCCTCTACCGATTGTGGTTTCTGCAGCTATGAATGTATTTCTCGGTTTCATAGCTGCTTAGCTACTTCAGACTCCAGATCTGCTTTAACGTGTGTTTAACTGTGTGCACACTCGGCAGAATACTCTTTCATAACAGCAACTTGGGGAAAGAGATCTGGAAATAAAATACATACATTTATGAGTACCAGGAAACAAACATGACCCAGTAATATATGAGGCAAGACTGCCTAAAATGAGATGCTTTTAAAAGATTTCTTTCCCATGGTTGTATCTTCTTTTTCTTTTTTAAACAACCACTTTTGGCCATTAGAATGAATCTGACACTGCTCTGAACAACGGTGATTATAGCAAAGCTATAAGTTTTAAAAACGTTGTTTATACTTGTTACATTCACTTCTCACCCTCCAAATACTGATGACAGGTGTCAAAGAGGCCAACACCAGCACAAATGGAAAGACCATCAAAAATGAGTATCACCTTGTGCTTTCAGAAACATTTAAGCATTTCAGTGTACAATAGTCCTTTCATTTCACATTTTTAGTAAGATGCTGATGCAGTGCAGCAAATATGCAAAGCATCTTCTTTCACACAGTCCATGCAGAAGACATCTAATTTAAGTTCTGAGATACAAATGATTAAAATAAAAAAAAAATCCAGGATGAAAGAGTTTCAAAATGCATAGTGTTCTGTGCATGAGTCCATTTTTCTTTAAACTCTAATAAAAGAATCAAGTGGTAAGAAAAAAAAAATTGGTGCTGCACTCTCTGATCTTCTCCATTTTGCTGGTTAGCACTCTATTCTGGCATGTAAGGATGGAGGTGATCCTCAATGGTGCCAACTGCCCAGTGGGTAAGCTGTTCCTGTGGCAGGTAGAGGCAGATGCTGCATAACTTGAAGATTGTAGCTTTGTTTTTTGGAGTCTGGAAAGGGAAAAAAATTTTAGAATATTCTTAAGAAGGACCTCAACGTTAACTGGCCAATTAACACATGAGAATCTCCCACAATTTACTAAGCACTTAAGAACACAGTAACAAAGCGCACAGAGTAAGGCAAGAAAATTATGGTCCCTATCCACAGGGACCTTGGTCTGGTCAGGACAGAACCCTGACATACGAAATACAGAGAGTCAACATGATACTGAATGTTTACAGAATTTATGCAGACTTTAAAAAGTTACAAAAGTCAGACTACTAGCTAAAAGAAATTAGGATTAAAGGCATATCATGGAGATAAGATTTGAATAGAGGTTTGCAATCACGTTTATATACAGAAAGACAGCAGATGTGGTGAGAGCAGAAGGTAGAGAAATTAGAAATAGGTTAAGAGATTTAAGCATATCCTGAGGTAAAGGACAAGCCCAAAGTATTAACAGATAAATCACACTCATTAACTATTTTTAAAAAGCAGTTACCATTTTAACATCTAACTTCTGATAAACAAGGGCTAGGTACTTTAACAAAAAACTACTGCTAGTAAGTAGACAATGAAGTCTGAACCCAGAACTGCCTTCACAGTTTTGCATCTTTTCACTATAGCACCTCTTAAAAAGAAAAAAGGCAAAAGGAACAGAAGGTAGACTTTGCCAATGTCTGAAGCAGTCTACATACCTACAAGCAGAATCCATACATGTATATTTTTTCATTTTGAAACCTAGGACTTTCATTTACTACATTTATAGAAAGGAACATGATCACAGAAATTATTTGTCCAAGGTCTCATGGCCAGTAAGTTACTGCATCTATGTTAGAATCCGAATTCTAGGCATGAGCTTCTATACCACCACCCATTCAAAATATTTTTGGTCTAGCCCTTATCATATATTTTATGTTAGCATATAAAGGGCAGATCTCTGCTAGATGATTTCAATCAAATTTCTTAATTTCCTTAACTATAAAATGGTAGTAGTAATATCTATACATCAAAAAACTGTTACGAGGATTAAATGAGCTCATACACGGAAAGCTCAGTATTGAGTTTGGTGCATATTACAGTTGACTCCTAAACAACATGGGTTTGGGCTGCTCAGGGCCACATATAAATAAATTTTTTCAATAAATATATTGGAAAAAATTTGAGATTTGTGAAAATTTGAAAAAATCCAGATAAACCACATAGCCTAAAAGTATCAAAAAAAGAAAAAGATTATGTCATAAATGTGTAAAATATGTACAGATGACACGACACTTAAACACAGGGATTGAAACACAGACCCTAAATGCATTTGAAAATCTCCATGAATAATTTAGTCTTCCCTCCATATATACAGTTCCACATCAGCTGACTGAACCAACCATGAATTCAGCCAACTGGACTGAGCAGTGTGTATTTATCAAAAAAATTTCACGTGTAAGTGGACGACTGCAGTTGAAACGTTGTCATTCAAGGGTCAACTGTAGACACTAGTCGAATATCCTGCTCTACAGTATTTTCTCAGTAAGTAACTCAAACGAAAGTATACTATGAGCAATTAAAAAGGATGAAAGAGTCAACCAAAAAATATTCACCACAGGAGCACTAAGGTAAATAAGAAACTAAAAACAAAAAAGGCCCAAAACAAAATACACCCCACCTAAATTGTATGTTTTTCTATCAGTTTTATCACATGCTTCCAGTGAAATTAATTTTCTTAACTCCCAGTTTCACTTGTAACACCATAAAATTACTTTCTATAAGGTACAAAATGTACAATCTTCCCAAATAGCCTATCAGCTCCTTGAAGATAGCAGTATGACTCCCATTTCTAATTCTCTAGTACCTTGCACAGACTTGCTCAAATAAAAACAAAAACATTCTACACAATGTAATTAATATCATACTTTTAAAAAAGTATTTAAAATCACCTTCTCAATGAGGCCTTCTCTGGTGACATTACCTAAGAATTCACACCAAACAGTACATAATTCCCTCTTTTCTCTTAGTATTTATTACTTACCTACTTCTACGGTTTCCCACAATGAAACGCCAACCCATAGAGCAGGAATTTCTAACTTGTTCACCGCTATACAATACCTGACACTTAGCACACATCTGCTGAATGAATGCTAAATAAATTACAATGATGCTATTTTTAACAATTAACAAAGTATCTATTACCCACTATAAATTCTAAGTGATGACATTTATTAGGCTTAGGTTGATAAGAATAAACTTTACAGAATAAAAATCAATTTGGAATACTTGGATTGCTACTTAAATTGGAAGTACTTACTTAAAATACATGTGGACCTTTAAAATACAGATGTGCTTTCATCCTTTTAGATATTTAAAAGATCTAGGCCAGTGCTTCTCAAAACATAAATGTGTTATCAATCTCTTGAGGTTTTTATTCAAAATACATATTCTGATTACTGCAAACTGAAATCATGACTTTTAGAAAAGTTCCCCATGTAGATCTAACATGCAGCAGTTTGGGAACCAATGTTCCAGATTAAGGTCAGGACATCTGTTTCTTGGTTTTTAAATAACTTCAAAAATAATGCAATACTGAAGGGGCAAATCAGAATTAAGTAACATACATAAAACAATTTACTAACCAGTCAAGTTTTAAAATGAGCCCTTGTGTGGTTTACAAAAAAAAAAAAACAGCTTACCTGCAAGTGCTGTCTGTCAATGAAGAGAAACACCGACTGGTTAGGATTGTTGACAACAATTCCAGTCTTGTCCTTTCGGCTCAGTACATGCAGAAACTGTTTTTCATAGTCACCGTGATGAAACTCAAATTTGGCCTAAGAAATAAGACATTTACATGTAACTACAAGCATGTTACACTTGACGTTACCTAAAACGTCTACTGCACCCATACGCATACAGTTGTGTTCTTCAATATGGTAACCAATAGAGGCTACTTACATTTATATTAATTAAATGGAATTGAAAACTCAGTTCTTTAATTGTACTGGCCACACTTCAAATGATCAAGTCTCATTTGGTAGCTGGTGGCCACCATTCTAAATAATCTCTTGGGATACACAAGATTTCCTTCACCACAGAAAGTTCTTTTGCATAACACTTCATAATTTGACCTTCAAGAAAAACTATACCGAAGTGACTAAATTTTAATACTCCTTTTAAGCCAAATATCATTAAATAAGATTTTTAGACCCACTTAGCTCAAGAATCCTACTTTAGTACTTAGTCCAATAACACCACCCATCTTTCTCTTATGTAACAAAGAATGCTACAGATGGCTCTTGGAAAGAAATCTATTTATATTCCAATCCCAGCTGCACACCTCACTACTTACGTGACTTGTGCAAACCCCTTAACTTTTCTAAATTTCAGCTTCCTCACCTATAAAATAAAAGGGCTCTAACCCATCAGTTAAGAGAAGTAAATGAAAAGTAAAACCCACACCTGAAATATACCTTCAGGCCTCACAAAGGTGAGTTATCTAAGGATACAGGAACCCCTCAAATTAAAAAAAAATGTTTTTATACACACTTTTTTTATATTAGTGAAGTTTTTTACATTATGAAGAACAGTTATCAAGTCAGTCATAACATTCTTTTAATCTTTTAACATTAGGAAGATTATCCAACAAAATGTCTATGGAGAGGCCAAATGATAGGTGAAAAGACCAGGCTAACAGGGAATTCAAGAAACCTGGAAACCTTGAGCAATCTGCTATTTTAGAATAGTGAATTGTAAAAATGATTATTAGTCCATTTGGTTCAAACAATCTTTATTCTCCCATTATGTCAAAGACAGTAGAAAATACTAACATGGAAAAAACATCAGACCTTGATGTCTAGGGTTTTACTACCCAGTAGTTTTTCTCATAAGCCGTAACATAAAATATGGTATCCCCTAGAGTACATCATGAGAAATGCTGGGCTGGAAGAAACACAAGCTGAAATCAAGCTTGCCAGGAGAAATATCAATAACCTCAGATATGCAGATGACACCACCCTCACAGCAGACAGTGAAGAGGAACTAAAACGCCTCATGATGAAAGTGAAAAGAAGAGCGTGAAAAAGTTGGCTTAAAGATTAACATTCAGAAAACTAAGATCATGGCATCTGGTCCCATCACTTCATGGGAAATAGATGGGGAGACAGTGGAAACAGTGTCACACTTTATTTTGGGGGGCTCCAAAATTACTGCAGATGGTGACTGCAGCCATGAAATTAAAAGACGCTTACTCCTTGGAAGAAAAGGTATGACCAACCTAGACAGCATATTAAAAAGCAGAGACATTACTTTGCCCACAGAGGACCGTCTAGTCAAGGTTATGGTTTTTCCAGTAGTCATGTGTGGATGTGAGAGTTGCACTATAAAGAAAGCTGAGCGCCAAAGAATTGATGCTTTTGAACTGTGGTTTTGGAGAAGACTCTTGAGAGTCCCTTGGACTGCAAGGAGATCCAACCAGTCCATCCTAAAGGAGATCAGTCCTGGGTGTTCATTGGAAGGACTGATGCTGAAGCTGAAACTCCAATACTTTGGCCACCTCATGTGAAGAGTTGACTCATCGGAAAAGACCCTGATGCTGGGGGGGATGGGGGACAGGAGAAGGGGATGACAGGATGAGACGGCTGGATGGCATCACCAACTCGACGGACACAGGTTTGAGTAAACTCTGGGAGTTGGTGATGTACAGGGAGGCCTGGCGTGCTGCGATTCATGGGGTCGCAGAGTCGGACACGACCGAACAACTCAACTGAACTGAACACCTGACTCTCAACCCACTCCAGTAATCTTGCCTGGAGAATCCCATAGACAGAGGAGCCTGGTGGGCTACAGTCCGCGGGGTCGCAAAGAGTCGGACACGACTGAGCGATTTCACTTTCACACATGACTCTACATAAAATACTGAATTATACTTTTGCACAATTCACATATTTATTGAACTCTATATGAAAAGCACATTATTAGATACTGACAAATATAAATAAGATTATCTCAATCTTAAGGGACTCACATACTACTGAAAAGGAAAAGCACATAAAAACGTAAATCCTAACTTACTTCAAACCTTTCCCAGAATATGATTTGGTTATTTGTAAAAAAAAAAAAAAAAATCTTAAAATGGGTTCTTACTCTTAAAAGCGCCATGAGAAGAATGAATAACTAACAATAGACAATGACGGCAGTTTTAGCAGATGATTTTGGATTGGGCCTTGAAAGATGACAATAATTTTCCCTGGGGAAAATAAAAATGGTAAGCAATTTGGAAAATGCCACTCTAGGAAACAGAACCTACACAAACACAAGTGTGTCAAAATTAAGATGCTGCTCAAAAAAGACAGCTTCAAGTGTTTCACTATGGCACATATCAGGGTGGATGGAAGAGGCCAGTAGATAACACACTGACAAGAAATTTAACTGAGACTGCCAAAGGCTTTGCCTGTTTTGCCTGTGTTTCTGTGGCACATCAATTCTATCCTGTTTGAATATCCAGAGTTTTGGGAAGGAATGGTCCACACAAAAAAAGAAAACTAATAGGCAGCATGTAAGAAACAATTCCCAGAAGGCAAGTAATGAATGTTTTCATAGCATGATGAAGAGCTAACCTGCAGCAAAAGCATTAGGAATGAGGAGGAAAGAGGAGACAAGACCAACTGTAACAGTATCTCCCTGCACTTCACAGAACTATGAATATAGCAGAACTCAATATTTTAAAACCATCTTTACTGTGGTTTCTATTAAATCTCACTACTGAAGTATTCTGATTTTAAAATGCTTTGAGTCAGAAAAAAAAGGTGTGTCAATTAAAGTTTGCCTTTTCTTCACCTATCTTGAGAGAATAAACCCTGCTATTTTTATTTAAGGTTTCTCACTCAGGATATTTAGATTAAAATTACTTCAAAGAAGTATGATTGTTTTTACACTGCTAATTATAAAAATATTACCTATATCCTAGATAATCCTATATCCTACTGCTTATATTAAGTCTGTAATTTAAAGATTTTATCATTCAGGGAACTTTCCACAGTACAGGGTAGTGAGTTAAAGAGCGCAGGCTTTATAGTCAGTCTAGACTTAAAAAAAACTAACAGTACTTTTGGAGAGCAGCGCCATTAAGGTTTAAGACCTGCCGTGATAACATAACATGTCTTTTCCATTCCCATCTTCTATATTCAGCTTAAATTCTCCAGTGCGTTCATCTTAGTCAGATGTCGTCAATTAAAACAACACAGAAATATAGGACGTTCACCTCTCTTTAGCCTACCGTCAAATGAACCTTAGAAAAAGGAATGACAACTTATTTGAGCTATGTGCAGCAACATTACCATGGGGACAGGACAAGGATACCAATTAGTCTATTACACCCAAAAGCACTATAAAGACATTTCATTAGAATGGATAAAAGCAAAATTTTTTCAATGACAATTTTCATAGTCTGATATGCAGATGACACCACCCTTACGGCAGAAAGTGAAGAAGAACTAAAATGCCTCGTAATGAAAGTGAAAGAGGAGCGTGAAAATGTTGGCTTAAAGCTCAACATTCAGAAAACCAAGATCATGGCACCTGGTCCCATCACTTCTTGGCAAATAGACAGGGAAACAGTGGCTGACTTTATTTTTCTGGGCTCCAGAATCACTGCAGACGGTGACTGCAGCCATGAAATTAAAAGACGCTTACTCTTTGGAAGGAAGTTATGACCAACCTAGATAGCATATTAAAAAGCAGAGACATTACTTTGTCAACAAAAGTCCGTCTAGTCAAGGCTATGGTTTTTCCAGTGGTCATGTATGGGTGTGCGAGTTGGACTATAAAGAAAGCTGAGCGCCAAAGAATTGATGCTTTTGAACTGTGGTTTTGGAGAAGACTCTTGAGAGTCCCTTGGACTGCAAGGAGATCCAACCAGTCCATCCTAAAGGAGATCAGTCCTGGGTGTTCATTGGAAGGATTGATGTTGAAGCTGAAACTCCAATACTTTGGCCACCTGATGAGAAGAGCTGACTCATTTGAAAAAGACCCTGATGCTGGGAAAGATCGAGGGCAGGAGAAGGGGACGACAGAAGATGAGACGGTTGGATGGTACCACCAACTCAATGGACACGGATTTGAGTGGACTCTGGGAGTTGGTGATGGACAGGGAGGCCTGGTGCACTGTGGTTCATGGGGTCGCAAAGAGTTGAACACTACTGAACTGAACTGAAGCAATTAGTTCAAAATAAGCCTTCTAAAATTTAGTTTGGTATACTTAGTCTTTAAATAAATGTAGTTACTTCTTAGTTTGTCTGATTGGTAAGTATGTTCATTGTAGAAATTTATTGAACATATATTATTTAATTAAAAAAGGAAAAGTTACCTTATCTGACCTAAAACTAACCATAATTGACATTTTGGTGGATCTTGTACTTACAACCATGCACACATATATAGTATAAATAAAATTACATTAACACACAGATAAATTCCCTTAAATAAAACATTAGAAATTGTCAAGCACATTAAATGACAAGTCAAAACATAGCAAAATATCAAGGAAAGTTAATTAAGAACCACTACTAAATTCTTTTCTCCTATGAAGCTTTATATACAAATCAACTCCTAGGAAAGGGTTTCTTCACTCATTTCTTGGATGAGATTCCCCTGAGAACCAGAGTTAAGTTACAAAGTATTTTAGGAGTGTGTATGGTGGAGGGGAAGAGATTTTCTAAAGTTTATCTATGGGCTCCACTATCAATCAACAAATGTCTACCTTAAAACATTTTTTCTGACCATAATTTCAAACACACACTGGTTAGTCAGAACCACCTCAATCCCAAGAGATTCTATAATCCAAATGCTGTCCATTCCTACAACAGTCAAAAGGCCAGGAGGGACTCTTGAAGGAAAATCTATCAGAAAGCATATTCCTAAGGAATTTCTTAAATTGGACCCTATTCTCCAAGTTTTCAACTTATTTATGTGTTTACCACATTTATTTTAGAATAAAATACCTGAACAGGCCTAAAAGGCTCATCAGATTCCTTCCACCTAGAGAACAGGAGACAGACAATTTTTTCAATATCATTCCGAGGCCAAAGAATGAAATCCATCTCCTGAGTACAGCCAATTACATCCTGTAAAATGCCACACACACACAAAACATTACTTTCAAATAAAAAAAGCCATAACAAGCAATATCACAAATTACAGGGTCTGACTACAAAAACATTTTACAAATGCACAAGGTTCACTATACAGCTGACCCTTAAACAACCTGGGTAGGAGGGACACTGATCAGAGTCGAAAACTGCATGTAACTTTATAGCCAGCCCCCGTATCTGCAGTTCTTTACCTGTGGATTCAACCAACTGTAGACTGAGTAGTACTGTAAATTATTTATTTAAAAAAATCCACTTATAAGTGGGCCCTGACAGTTGCTGCAAATCTGTGTTAAGGGTCTACCATGTGTTATGTCTTTTAAGAGGTGACAATAAGAAGACTGTATACAATCTGAATAGTTTATGACCTAATTCTAATTTTTATCTTGTAGAGTTCACATATAATCAATCAGTTTAATAGTTATCATATTGAGATCTAAACTCATCAGTGCAGTGAAAACTGCAACTGAAGCTCTCATTTTTTGTCTTTTAAGTTCTTATACCATTATTTTCACTCTTCAAAATCAGACCCTAATTAAGCAAATGTGTCCTGGAACTTCTAATTCACGTTATTACAGGTGAAATGTTAATTCTATCATATGTCGATTATTGAGGCAAATTAACCTCTTCCAGACCACTACATGGTTTTCTCCAGCTGCCCCCCAAAGCCTACTAAATGATGGGGCCCTCTTGTTGAAGTTACTCTGCCCACAGTAACTTTCAATGATTTGCAGAAGTTTATAGACAAACCGCCTCAAAAGTTCCATAGTTACAAGGGGCAAGATGTTTTATTCTCCCCCAAAAAGGAAATCTCAGTAATCTAATACATGAATCACAACAATGTACACTATTACCAACAGAGTAAAGCCTAAGAAAGTTACACATGCTTTTTTTAAATTCCTTTTTAAGAGAGATTTACAATCACCGTTCATTACCCATTCTTAGGAGGGAAAAAAAAAAAAGGCAAGTTTAACTCACATAAAGCCTACCCAATCAAGACTTAATAACAGAACTCACCCTTCTCATAGACTGGTATCGAGGAGCATGGAGCTGCACCACATCTTTCTGTAAAAGCTCTATGGAACTTTCCAAGGAATAGCTGGAATCTCGCACACCTTTCAGGATATTTTCTTCATAATTATTTGTCATAACTGGTATAACCTCAGACACTTCAAAAAGTGCTGATTTTTTCTTCTAAAAGGAAAAAAGAAAAAAAAAGTGTATTAACCTACTGGTAGCACATTGTCTTCTAACACCCAGAGTTCATAACACAATTTTTGTAGCATTATTCTAACACAGCAAAATTCTTAACTGAAGCCATTTCCGTACAGAAAACACAGATTTTCAAACTAGGTGGATCCTTCTGTTCTTCCCTCAACCCCCTTACTTCCCAACCACACACAAATAGGCTATTATCAGAATGTTTAACTGCATGTTTTTTTAGCATTATGGTAACCAAAACAAGAACTTATTTTGCACAGTATTTCTTAAACAATGAGAAACAAACACCAGATACCCACTTTAATAAAAAAACAAAACAGTGATTTACTCCTGACGCAAATTCACTCAACTGGTTCTACATACAGCAAAATCAAACTCTCAGCAGTTTAAAATCAAGGCTCTAGGGTCAATTTCCATTATTCCTTCTGGGTATTATGTAACTACAAATGTCAATATTCAAAAGAAAAGGAAAATATGTCCACCAAACCTTCAAACTTAGTTAAGATCAAGAACTCATCAATTTAGTTTATAAAATTCATGAACTGCTCGAGACAACTGTCTGGATACTGTCCAGTCAAAAGACTTCTATAGGTGTGAGAAGAGCTAGATGATATAATTTGCAGCATCTGAGATCTAGTCTATTTTTATCTCATATTTCTAGTGAACCTACATTATAATAGTGTCCATTAAAATCTGGTCTTATCAATTCTGCAATTAAGGAAAAAAGAAAAAAGCAAATCCGTGATATTCAATCTTCAGACAATCATTTCAAAACAAACCACTTTCGAAACCACTTTTTATGTTATACCTAGCAGCTAAGAGAGTTCTTAAATACTAATAACTTTAATAGTGGGAATAAATATGTGAGAAACTTTCAAATTAAAGATATACCATGCCAAGATGGTGTTTCTGATGTGAAATTAGCTCACAACTTAAGCACAAAATCAAAGCAGTGTTTCCTTAATATTCAAAACCTAACCTCATGTCAAATAAAAATTATCTAAGAAATTGTCCATTATTTTAAATAGCCAAAAAAGTTTTTATCAGGTTTTCCGTGACTACTCACAACTCATTATTTGCTATTTTACTGTGGAATTAACTCTAACACCAAAACAAGTGTACACTTCTTTTGGTCATGTTGTACTTCTAAAGACAAATTAACCTTTACAGTAATTAACTGCTCCTAAAAATAAAAGTGCATTCTATTTCACTAAATGTACCATGAGAAAAGGTAAACTACAGCATGTAGCTTAAGAACCAGAAAGCTTTCAGCAAGTAAACATTTTGATTCCAATTTACTACTTTCAAACATTCTATATACCTCAGATAATCTTTAAATTCAGTAACCAAGTTCTCTATATAACTCCACATAAATAAAAGTTATTGTAAAACAAAAATGTGAGTTTTACAATGCTACTCACCCCATGTTAACTAAAAGTGGATCCTACTCAGCTTTAGAATTACGTTATTTCCAAACCAATGAGCACACAAGCCTTTCATTCATGGTTACACCCTAACTCCTCTGACTGAGGGTCAAAGTTATACAAATAAAGACTTTTGTCCACCACTCTTTAACCCTAACCACGTAATATACACTTACAAAAAACCTTGTGCTAAATCACATTAAGAACTTTAAATTACCTTCTCCTTGAATACAAAGGCAATATACATCTTGAAGTCAAACTGGTCAGCTAGAGATTCTTTTTTCTTTCTAAGCTGAGCACGTAGTCTGTTCAGAGCTTGTTTCTTCCGGGAGTTTGGGTCCCCCATTTTGAAATACAGGTAGGTACTAAAGCCTTTGGAAATTGTCACTAAACTATGGGCACTTTTTCTTAAGACTCAAGTACAACAGAAACAAGTCATTTTTTTTTCCTGCTAATATGATTGTATAGCTAAAATCACGACTGCAACCCAAAAACTGCACCTTCTGGCAATATTAGGAGACTGTCATATTACAGGGTCAAGAAACAAAAGCTGCTTTCCAGTCATGTTTGGACAAGAAAGGTTTGGGGTCAGATGGGAAAAAGGAAGGGAAGGAAGGAAAGAGAAAATACTTGAACTAACTTTTTGGAAAACACATTTGGCTAAACTGCCAAAATAAAGGTGGGGGAAGGGAAAAACCTATGAATAGGATTTAGGTGTGCAATAAAACACAGTTGACACCAGTCCAATCCTTAAAATCCATCCGGATCTTCTTCCCCTCTTTTTAGAGAAGGAATAATGAAAAGGAATGAGGAGGGGGACTGTGATCCTTACTTTCCAAATTTCAAAAAGGAAAAAAAAAAAGCCACCAAAATAACCTCCCCCCAAAACCAAAACAGGGTAGGTGAATGAAACTGAAATATCCAATTGGACTTTACCCAGCCAGATTCATGGCTGTAGTACCTAATTAATTCTTAAGTTATTTCAGATTTCACTATTGCTATGTATTATCAGTGCGTGTTATTGATTACACTTGGTAGTGAGCAAAGAGAAAAGTGCAAAATCGGTAGAGAAAGAAGGGGAGAGGTTCAGGGTTTCCCTGCAATCAACTACAGTGTATACCGGGGGCGGGCAGCTGTTGCCCAAAGGAGCCATAAGAAAAAACAGCGGAGTCATTACCAATTTCCCCATCGCCCACATTTTCACCATCAGGCGGCTGCTAATGCTGCTGCCAAGGAGAATCATGATGGCAGAAGAAAAAGGGGTAGATAATACGATATAATAATGATTCCGGCCCTGTGGTTAGACCTGATTAATGCCCGGGATCCCAACACCCCAAGTTCTGCAATGAGTCCTACATTCCCCGAGGGACCGTTCCCTATGAATCTGCCCGCGTGCAAGACCGTGGGGAGTGAGACTTATCTTTTTGTTAGCATTGCTGAGGCAAAGGTGGCGGGTTCTTCTCCCAAAGCCCAGGCAGTGCCCGGGGACCACCTGCCTTCCACCCCCCGGAGGTCCCACTCCCGCCCTTTGCCTTCAGCGGCAGCGACTCACTCGCACCACGGGAGACACTGGATCACTCGGGTTTTCACTCATTTCATCGTGGAAACAATCCCCGCCCGGGTAGAGGAGGCGGGAGAGGGTAAAGGGGAGGGATCAGTGGGAAGAAAAGAAAATAGTTGCGTTAATATTAATTACTTTTTAAAGTATGCCCACCCCACCCCACCCAAGAAAGAAAGAAAGAAAAAAAAACAAAACACTAAGTTCCCGGACTCCGGATTCAGCTCTCACGTTGAACAGACCATGTTTCCCGACTTTGGATGGCTTAGGGCGGGGTCGTTAGTTGGCTTCCCGAAGGAACAGGGGGGATGGACTGGAGGCGGCTGGGGCGGGGTGGGTGACGGGGAAGTCCCCTCCCTGTCCCCGCGGAGACCGGGACTGGCGGACCGACTCTCGGGCGGGGTTCGGGCCCTCTAGCCGCAGCCTGCGGGCGGAGCGGTGGCGGCGGCGGAAGAGGCGGCGGCGGTGGGGGCGCTGCTCGCAGCACGGGCAGGAGCCATGTCAAGAGAAAACCACCAGCCAACTGAACCCCTCCATCCCCGCTGCAGTGCGCACTGTGACCGGGCCGCCCGCGCTGCTGCCGCCGCTCAGCCCCCACCTGGGACCCATAGTCTGGCTCGGCGCCCCGGGCGGCGGCGGACGGGAAGGACGCGGGGACGGCGGCGACGGCGAGAGAAAAGAGAGGAGAAACGAGGAGGAAGGGGGAGGGGGGGTTGGATTTGTATTGGCGGCGGAGGGGGAAGAGAGGAAGGGGAGGGGAGCCCTGCGCTAAAGGGGGTCTGTCAGCGAAGGAAACCCCCCAAAATAAAAAGTTATTTCAGTTCAGGCATCTGCTCTGGCGTCTTTCTTCTCCGCACGGATCAAGTTCCGGCTCTCGGAAAGAAGATCGAGGAGACCCGGAGGGGGGAGAAGCCGAAGCGGAGGGTGAGCGTCCGCGGTGGCACAGCCTGGTTTCCCCCCCACCGGTGGCTGCGGAAGAGACAGTGGCTGCCTCGGCGCCTCCCAGGTCCGGGGCAGAGTCGCGTTTGAGACGAAAAGCGAGAACAAACAACTTAAAATGGCAGCGACGGCCGCTGCGTCACCCGCCCCTCACCGGCACCGCCTCGAACGCTTTGCGGCTGCGCACCGCGCGGGCCGCCACCATCCGCGCAGGGGCGAAGGGGGAGAGAAGACGGGCCGTGGTGAAGGTTTACATGGTTCTCAAGGAGGCAGAAAAGAAGAGCAGGGGCAGAGGGTGTGAGCAAGCTTTGAAATGGGTGACTCTCCGAGATGAAGCTTCTTGGTTAACACTCCCGCCTCAAAGGGGGAGTTTTAGAATAGAAATCTCCCCCTCTTGTCCAGAATGCAGTTTCTATGGGGCGTGAAAACGTACGACCCAATCTCCTCCGCCCTCTGTCAGGAGGGCCGGGCTCCCGAGCTGGCCCCCTCGCCCCGCCCCTGCCGTCATAAAGCCACGCCCTTACGCCCTCCCTGTCGGAGCACCCGGATGGAATCGCCCTGCCCTCATTTCGTGCTCCCCTCAGCCTCGGCGGGGGCGCGGGAGAGGCGGAGCCGGTGGGCGGAGCCAGCGGGCGGAGAGAACGCGAAGGTGGGGCGGGGTGGAGGAGGAAAAGGGAAGTGTTTGTCCGGAGGGGAGGTGGAGATGCCCGTTTCAGTTCGTCGCGGTTTGTTTCTCAACCACTGATTGGCAGGCCTTTTGCGGGTCTGCCCCGCGGTCTCGTGCCAACTGAGCGTTCGTTTCCAATATCTGGACTTGAAACGGCTAAGCCGCCGAAAATGGCTCATGTTGGTCTCACGTGGCTCTCTGTTTCCCCCCTCTCCACGTGCGCAGAGAAGGGTGGGGGGGCGGTTCTCAAGCTCCGAAGAAGGCGAAAGACGCCGTTAGAGCGTTGCTCTTGTGGTTTAGGAAGAAAACTGCCGCACCTGCCCCGTGCATCATTTTAACCTTATTTATAGAACACAGTTTTTATGGCAGTCCGCCACTCAGGACCTTAGACCCTGGGACCCGTCCCTTAGGTGGTTCCTCAAAATATGAAGAGCGTGTGTGTAGGACGGACCCACACGTCTTAGAATCACATGTCTTTGGCTCCAAAGAGCAATTAGTCCCATTTTTCAGAGCTCCAATGTACCTGTAAAACGAAGCTATATAAATAAGAAATCCACAAAGGTCAACATTCATCAAAAGCAAAGGCTAAATAATCTTTTATGAGCTACTCTGTGATGAAATTTTAGAACTCCATTGGTTCCCCAAAATTATTGTTCTTCACTTGGTAAAATCAAAATAGATTACCTGTAATGACTCCCCCCACCCCTTTTAACCCATGAACCAAAAGATTAATTATATCCACCCTTCAAAATAAATTGCAACTAAAATGATATTTCTGGATTTCCAAATTATCACTGTGTGTGTTAGTCAATCAGACGTGTTGGACTCTTTGTGACCCCATGGGGTGTTGCCCACCAGGCTGCTCCATCCCTGTGATTTTTCAGGCAAGAATACTGGAGTGGGTTGCCATTTCCTTCTCCAGGGGATCTTCCTGACCCAGGGACTCCTGCATTGCAGGCAGACTCTTTACCGTCTGAGCTACCAGAGAAGCCTTAACAGTAAATAAAGCATTTTGCTAGTGCTTCCCTGATTGATTTTCACAATCACATAGTAATAACTGCAGAAAACTCACAAGGATAAAACTGAGGATATCAGGTAGTTTAGGACACTGGTTTTAAAGAAAGATATTTTTAAAATAGCAAAGGTTCATGTCTTCTTGATCTGGGCTTGATTTGTATCCATGATCAGCTCCTTAGAAGAGTTTTTTTTTAATAACAGCGTTATTTGAAATATAATTCACACACCACAAAATGTACTGACTTAAAGTATACATTTCAATTGATTTTAGTATAGTCACAGAGTTGTACAGCCATCACCAGAAATTTCAAACATTTTCATCACTTAAACAAGAAACCCCATACCCAGTAGCAGTCACTCGGCTCCTGCCTCTTCCAGCCCAACCACTACTCTGTCTTCCGTCTCCATAGATTTTCCTGTTTTGGAAACTTCATATAAATGGAATCATACACTACATGGTCCTTGTGACTGGCTTCTTTACTTGGCCTAATGTTTTCAAGGTTCATCCATGTTGTAGCATGTCTCAGTACTTTTTTTTTATTGCTTAATACCATTCCATTGTATGGCTCTTCCATATTTTGTTTATCCATTCATCAGTTTAGGGACTTTTAGGTTATTCTGCTTTTTGACTATTAAGAATAATTTTGCTATGAGCATTTATGTAAAGGTTTTTGTGTAGACGTTTATTTTCAGTTCCCTTGGGTAAAATTATAGGGGCAGATGTTAACTCTATCTTTAATCGGTTGAGAAACTGCTGAACTATTTTTACAAAGTGGTGACACCATTTTACATTTTGGCTAGCAGTGTATAAGGGCTCTAATTTCACCACATCCTTGTTATTATGTGTCTTTTTTATTATAGTTATCCTACTGGGTGTGAAGTGGGTATCTCAATGTTGATTTCCATTTGCCCTTCCTTAAGGATTCATCAGAGAAGGCAATGGCACCCCACTCCAGTACCCTTGCCTGGACAATCACATGGATGGATTTTCTGCAGCCGGGTAGGCTGCCGTCCATGGGGTCGCTAAGAGTCACACACGACTGAGCGACCTCACTTTCACTTTTCACTTTCATGCATTGGAGAAGGAAATGGCAACCCACTCCAGTGTTCTTGCCTGGAGAATCCCAGGGACAGGGGAGCCTGGTGAGCTTCCGTCTAATGGGGT